CACTGAAAAAAATGATTCATTGAATTTACTACATTTTTTAAGGTAAGTAAGTGGTCGCAATCAATTTATTTGAGTTACATTTAAATAAACAAATTTAGTTGACTTTGAAATTTTTTTTTAAATGTAGCTAAAATAAATTGTTTGCAACCACTTGCCTTAAAAAATGTAGTATCATTTTTTTTTTCAGTGTACAGGAAACAAGAAAAAGATCTGCATAAAGATTCTTCAAAATATGTCATTTACCCAACCATTTAAACATTTTGAATTGGTAGATTTTTTTTTAAGGCTTTTAAAAGAAGTCTCCTGCTCACCAAAGCTACATTTATTTGATCAAAAATACAGTACATGTATTTTGGTAAATGGTAATATTGAGAAAAATTATACAAATTTAATATAGCTGTTTACTATTTGAATATATTTTAAAATGTAATTTATTTCTGTGATGCAAAGCTGAATTTTTAGCATCATTAGTCCAGTCTTCAGTGTCACATGATCCTGTAATATGTTGATTTGCTGCTCAGGAAAAATTTTTATCATCATCATGTTGAGGCTATTTTTGCGGAAACCTTTTAAAGGATTCTTTGATGAACAGAATATTCAAAAGAACAACATTTATTTGAAATAGAAATCTTTAGTAACATTATAAATGTCTTTACTGTTACTTCAATGTAAAAGTATTTCTTTAAAAAAAAAAAGTCAGTTGACCCTAAACATTTTCTTCATGAAACAGTAATAAAAATATTCCACTTTCAAAAGGATTTATTTTCATTTTGACACCAATATTTGACAGTGGTCTAAGGCAAGACACCATTATACAACAACAACAACCAAGAACAGTGATTCACAAGTCTACCAAATCGATACATTCTGCCCAATACAAGTTGAATATAATCAAGGTGAATATAAAGCAAACGGCAATGGGTATGTGACATTTGCTTTAATGAACAATAAAGATGCAGAACTGAAAAATCTTAAAGGAAAATAAAATTATAAATTCATATTCTCAATATAATCGTAAATCACCTTCTTCATAATGATTTATAAATGAACACGCTGACCAGCAGAATCTGACATGCACATAATGGCATGGATAAGAAAATAAATATAATCTTAAAGTTTCTTCTCTGTTTTGGCACTGATTGTCATCTGTTCTACATACTGGATCTATATACCCACATCTCGTCTAATAATAATCATTGAGCTCATTTCCGCTAATAACATTCCCTTCGCATGCTTATATATATGAATTTCTCAGAATAAAATAATAATAATTTTAAAAAATGCATGACAACCAAAATTATACAAAGTATCAAACACTCGCACTTGCAAAACATTTATTTGGCTTTGAAAGGAAAGTGAATTTTCCAATACTGTATCTTATTCATATTAGCTTTTAAATTTTGTATGGCTAATGGAGTATAAAAATATAATGAGTATTAACACACCTGATCCTGGTTTTGGTTACTTTTTTGCAATTGATAGTGTTGCAAATTAACTAGGTTTGAAGAAATCAGACATGAGAAGTGTTGTGAAGGTCCTACGGAAAATAGAGATTACCTATCTAAAACACATACAGATATCTAGAAATAAGTTAAGCCTCAACTTTTGTCAAAATGTCATTTTCTCGCTATAGACTTTTAACTTACAGTATTTCTAGCAAAAAGTATCTCGTTCCAGAATGCCAGATTGTGATTTCCAAAGATATTCCAACAGCAAACTATAAAGATTAGAATGTAAAAGAATGACTACTTCCATCGTCCACATTTTCTCTACTCCATCTAGAAGTGACACTTCTCGACACACCTCTACAATATTGAAAGGTGGCAGATAGCACGATACTGTGAATATCCATGACACGTCCATGCAAAAACACATACACTGACACGCTTACACTCTCACTCAGCTAACCATGTAAACAGTGAGAAAGCACGCCACGTGTCCTAAGGCTAAGTAGTCATGGTACAAAATTTCTATGGGTTACGAACTACTAATCCAATAGATTACGATATCGGAGCACTTAGTAGAGCCCTGTAGACGACGTCAAAACAGATTACCGTGACCCTGGAGGGGTCGAACTGGAGACAAAAAGACAAGATGAGGAATGAGAGAGGAGAGGAAATACAGAGAAAGGAGAAGAGATGTAGAGGAGATGAGTAGGATAAATCCTAGAAAGCCCTAGACAACACATATGCTAGGATTTCTACCACAAGTACAGTCATGATACAATACTTGGCACAAATCAGACTAAAGATCAGATAGAAACCATGCAATCATCGTTTAAAGTCAACATGAAATCAAAATTCTGGATTGTGTGTTCCCTGACAGTGATTTGCACCGACGAAACAACTGAAAGTCATTCGGTGAAAACGCTGTCAATGCGATAAAGTTGAGCAGAGTTTAACTTCATGCAAATCTGCAGCAGTGTGATGTTGTGGAAAATACAGGAATGCCTAGTTTGGCGAACTCCAGCGATTTAAGCATGAACGCACCTTAAGGGGCCGTTGACACGAAATGCGTTTTGCATTCCACTGCACTTTTTTTCCAATGTTTTTCTCCATAAACTTGCACTAGACTGACATTTTTGACCATTGCACTTGAATCTTGCATCTTTTGCAGGATATCACACAATTCAGCATTCCAAACACATAGCATTCAAGTGAAAAGTTATTGATGTCTCTGCGTTTTTTCATTCCACCGTTTAAAAAAAAAAACAGAAACACGCTCTGTGTGAACTGGCCCTTATAGCGCACAAGTCACTGGTGAATGCAACATGTAAAACATTTTTTTCTTTGTATTCTTCCATCAAATTGTAATAAGACGTTTGTAGGAAAGTATCATAAGGGGCCGTTCACACAAAACTCATTTTTGCATCCCACTGCAAATTCTTTTTCATTTAGCCTGCATGGATGTTTATTACTCTTGTGCTCGTGTCTTTTGCAGCATCTCACATGACATGGCATTCTAAAAATTACATTTTAATGCCCTGTGCCTCATAATTTTTAAATGCAAAAACTCATTCTGTGTGAACCAGCCCTTATAGCGCAGGAGCCACTGCTGAGCATTACATTTAAAAAATGTCTGTCTTCGTATTCTTCCATGAAAGTGTACTAAAAAATGAGTATGAACGCATTTTAAGGGGCTGTTTACACAGAACTCTTTTTTGCATTCCACTGCTCATCTTTTCCATTGTTTTTTTTTTGTATGTAAACGTGAACTAGATGGGCGTTTGTTACCTTTGTGCTTACATCTTTTACAGTGTCTCACACATGACGTGGCATTCTAAAAATGTAGCACTCAAGTTAAAAATTGCTCATGTGTGTCTAGTGCATTTTGCACTGTATATATACGTACGTTTGACCTTTGCTGTCATGTCTTTTGCAGCGTCTTATGCATGACACAGCATTTAAAAAAAAAAGCAATACTCAAGTTAAAAGTGTGCTTTTTCCATTCTACTGCCCTGTGTCATGTGTTCTTAAGTGCAAAAACGCATTTTGTGTGAACAGGCCCTTACAGCGCAGGAGTCACTGGTCAAAGTTACATTTAAAAAGTGTTTTTCCATTCGAGTGTAATAAAAAGTTATGAATGCACCTTAAGGTGCCGTTCCCACAAAACACATTTTTGCATTCCACTGCACTTCTTTTCCATTGTTTTTCTACATAAAGATGCACCAGATGATGTCCCTGACCATTGTGCTCACAGAACACATTTTTGCATTCCACTTTATTAAAACAGACGTTTTTGACTGTTGCACTTGCATCTTTTGCAGCATCTCGATCATGACACAGAGTTCTAAAAACAGGGCACCCGTGTTGTGCATCTCTGCACCATTTTTTCATTCCACTGTTCTGTGTCTTGTGTTTTTAAACACAAAAATGTGTTCTGTGTTCATTCACTGGTGAATGTTACATTTAAAAAAATGCCTGTCTTCATATTCTTCCATAAAAGTGTAATCATTTGCTCCACCTCTGATATACATTTCTTTTTCAGATGATGTCACAAAGCACCAGCCAATAAAACCCACTTTTCACAATCCACTCAATTCAAGCCCGCCTTGTATTTTTTTTCAGTGACTATCCTGTTTCATTCTAAAATATCCAATGCAAAATTGGTTTGTGAACAGCATTTCATGTTGACTTTAAACTAGCATGACATTACTTTGAAATTATTTTTGAGAACATTAACCACAGGACGGCACAGCAGTCACAAATTTGAGAGCAATAGACTTCATCATTGTCCTATAATATCGTAAAATGCTAACAGTTGGTTAAGATGGTAATGGACATGAATAATATACAAACTGTACTTTACTTTACCGAGTGCTGCGTTAGCCAAGAGTCATCCCTTTATGCGTGTCTGCCTTTCAAGAACCTGAGGAGAGTAAATATGCATTTTCAGAGCATGTGTATTGTTATCATAAACCTTTCCCTGGCTTAATAAGGTGCTGTTGACAGCATGTCACCTTCAGCAGGGTATTCTCGACATCCTCTATGGCAGGACACTGTAAAATCACGAGCTCTGCTGCAAATCCTAAGGAACTGCCTCACTCTCTGCTATCTACATAGCAGAGGTGGACAGTAACTAAGTACATTTACTTGAGTATTGTACTTACAACTTTTACTTGTAATGGAGTAATATTTGACCAGCAGTATCTGTACTTTCACTCAAGTAATGGAGTTGAGTACTTTGTCCGCCTCTGCTACATAGCTACCTTACAAGGCAGTGTCCTAAATTAAATGCAAGTCTTTTAATGCACCACTTCCCATGAGAAACCAGACTAATGCTTACAGTTGATTACCTCAGATAGAGTCTGAGGTTGTTCTGATGTAGCAAATTACGTAGCACTCATAAATATTGCCTGAAATAGTCACTGAGACAGAGCTCTTTTACTCCAATCTTTTCAGAATTGATTAATATTTCTCACAGTGCAGTCTGGGATTGCCCAATCCTTGAGGGGTGAGATGCTTTGTCAAAACAAGATATCTTACCAGACAGCATCAAATCTGGGAGTCTGGTGCGTGTCAGTAGCTATGTTTCCATCCACCTATTTGTATGCACTTTTTGGGGTATTGCATAAAAAAACACATGATGGAAATGGCAAGATGCACCAAAATTCTAAAAATGTATGCAATCAATTGAGGCAGATACATTTTTTATCTGATAAGAAAACATGCGCATAAACTATGAATAAATTCCTTGATGTGCATCTAAAAGTCATGTGACTTTGCGCAATGAGACGGCATAACTGGACTAACCAGTGGACCGATCTTGTTGCACAGCATCTGAAATGTTGTTTTAGTCATTTTTAAAAGCTTGAGCCAAATTCTGTCGCCAAAGTGGTTCGGTATGACAACCTTACAGAACTGTCTGCATTTCCAAACAGCATGCATCCGCCTCCGAATGCAGGATGACATGACTGTGTTTATTGCATTTTGTCTGCGTAATTTATTTTACGAAAAAGACCCACAGTGGCTCCTCCTACTGCAGCAAATGACCTTTTCTTAGAGATATGTGGCACCAGTTTTCAGGAAGTTACGATTTTGTTCTCTTCGTCTTGCTGGATAAAAATGGTGCTTTATTCATAAAAGGTTTGTGCGCTATTTCAATTTTGTGCATAAATTAAATTCACAACTTTGGGTGGAAACATAGCTAATGATGCCTAGATAGGCAGCTCAACTAGAGTTTGGAACAGAGCACTGGAAAAGCTTAAGAGGATCTGCTCCAGTAAATCCAATAAGAACCAGAATTGTGTTCTGTTGTGCATTAAACCCTGGTTGATCCTGGAAAACCAAATCCATGAATCACATATTATTGTGCATGTATATCGAAGATTATTTCTGAGAGTTTCAGATTTAGTCTTGTGCAGTTAGAAAGGAATAGGAGAAGAATAATATGAATAGAATGACTACACAGAACAGGCACAAACAATTTAGTCTGCCCTCTTGTGTTTGCTGGAGGGAGCCACATACTAAACGCTTACTTCTGCCCTGCAACATATAAGACAACATCTCTAAACAACATCACAGGACAGTAAATGTACAACGACATCACAGACCCAGCTGAAACCTGCGATCCCAGCCTCGAGCTGATATCTTTCTCCAGAGAAGGTGCTGTGCTTAGCTAAGGTTCCTCTGGCTTGGTTGCATCTTTTCCTGCGTTAGAGCTGTCATCCATAGCGACGGGGTCACCGAAGGACCCGGCGGTCCCACCGGCCGGCCTGCTGGAGCTGGAATGTGCAGAGGTGTCTTTGGAGTGCGGTTCATTGGGGTTTGCCGTCTTCCCTTTGGCTCGTCTGGAGCTCCAGCTGCTGCTCTGCTTCTCTTCAGTCTCAGGGCTGGAGTCACAGGAGTCGCTCTTCTTCACCTCATCATCAGATGTGAAGTCAGAGCTGTCAGATGGACTCAGACCAGCTGCGGCGGATGCTGGCAGTTGAATCTTAGGTGAGATTAAAAGACAAGAAACATTTTCAAAGCTTAATTTAAAAAAATCTGTGGTATTAATATAGTATATTGTACAAGTTGTATTTTGAACTTTTGAGCATTTATTTTCATCTTTTTAGTTTACATAAGTACATTTAGTGCGCATTTGTCATTTTGATGTTTGCTTAATATTTCTATTTAGCATTATTTTTTATTTTAGCTTGAGCAATTTTAATACTTGGACTTAACCCTATAAAGCCATATGAAATAATAGAAAAATCTACAGGTTAAATATATTAATATAAAAAGATTTTACATTTAGCCAAAATATATTTTTAAAAAATCTCAAAACATCACATAAAATGCATCATTTTTGATGCATCAGGCTTTTATGGTGCATATAGTGTGGTATGTTTTATTGTGTAGACCTGCTTGTACACACTGTACAGCACTTTGGATCAATTTATATTGTGTTTAAATGTGCTTTATAAATAAATGTTGTTGTTAAAGACAACAACATTTGTAACATCTAGTAAAAGAATATGGAGCTCATACTTGAGGAGGAAAAACAGCAAAAATATACAATTGGTTCACATGCTGATATCTATATGGACAAAAAGTCAGATAGAATCCGAATAGCTTATAATGTAAACCAATAAGATTGAACTACTTACATAAAATACATAAGTATCATTTATTACTATATATCTCTCAATAATGTCTTACCGAGATTTTTATTAAATGCAAAACATATCATGCAAATATGTAATATTTAAATGGAAAACATATAATACAATGCAAATACAAAGCCTGATGGATCATATTTTATACATTTTAACATGATTTTTTTAAATGATGTATGGAAAATCAAATAAAAGCTAAATTGCTTCTATTCAGATGTGTGCAGCACATTTTATGGAGGATGAGGACTGTTTCCTAAAACAAGTAGCCTACAATGCATCTGTGCATAAAGGCTGTTTCTATAAAGTTGGGCAGTAACAACTTTGCAAGGACAGTCTGGCGCTTCTGACTCACAGCCTGTAAGTACGTTTTTTTATATTTAAATAATTTGCCACTGATGGTTCAAACGCGAGTTTTGAGCAGTATAGAGTAGGGCTTGTTGTTTGTTGTTTCTCCGATCACAAATGCAGACAAACCCGGATGATTGTAATCACTCTAAGTTTGTCTGCCTTGGGAAAGCTAGCGTGTCTCCGACATAGTGATAACACTCATTGCCTTCTCTAGTGCAGCTCAACCAGGTCTCGTCCCAGTCGTCGGTATTTGTGATATCACAAATCCCGGAAATTATGCGTTGTAGTCCAAACGAGTCGTTCGTTGTAGTTTTTGAAAAGTGATTTCTGTTAAATAAAATATCTCCTTTTGAATTGGGCTTTGAGCTTTGTAACTTTGCAGATCTTTTTTATGCTCAAACAGCAACATTACAGACTAACTAAAGTTGAAAAAGTGAAAAAGCATAATAGGACCCCTTTAAAATATTACTAACAATTAGCAACAACAACAATAAAAAAAAATTGTTTTTACGGCCTAAATATTATTTTATTTCAGTTAGTTCCTAAAGCAATATTTAAAATTGTTTCATCTATTTATTTTTTATTTTATTTCAGCTTTATTTCAAATTACGAAAATACATTTAATAGTCTATAACTTAAGAAAATTAAAACTTAAGAAAAACTTCAAGTATCTGAGAAGAGTTTTATGGTGCATATTTAGTACATGCTGGAATGAACAGTTAAGAGATTGAGATTACCTGGAATGGCTCAGTGACGCCCACAATGGAGCTCATATTGTTGCTATAATAACCTAGTATGAAGTCCCCAGAATCCTTTGGCAATTCTTCCTCAGTAAAAATCACCTGAAGATTCCGAATCAAAAACTCTTAAATAAAATTCACAAGCTTCAATTTGTGACTTAATGAACACAAGTGAATGTCTTTTTCTTGCAGCTAAATGGATGTATGATTTGCCCTTACTTGGTGCTCCTGTCTCAAGAAATCAGACTCTTCCTGCTTGGCCCAAACATAACCCACATAGTCTTTATGATGTTTAAACCCAACCTGTGAAAATACATTTTTGTACTTAAAAACACAAATCAAGTGACAAAAATTATATTTGTATCACACTACATTTACCATCTTACTCCTATATCTAAATGCTCAGAACTGTTGAAATTATTGAAATAACCTTGTAAAGCCCAATCCAGTCCCAAGAGCTTCGAGCAAAGTTGGGTGCCACCTTGTATTTGGCCACTGCATCGGATATCTCTGTCCATTCATCCTCTACAAAGAGTGTTACTAAAGGCATGTCCACCCTATATGGGAACTAAAAGGACCATCACATGTTAAACACATTGCACAAACTCAGCATGAAAGTTACTCTCAATAAGTGTATACATTCATGTCAGGTGAAACAGCAACCTAGTACATTCATAACGGTATTCAATGTGTAGCTTGGCATTAAGGGATTACTTCACCCAAAAATTTAATTTGCTGAAAATTTAAATCACCCTCAGGCCATGCAAAATGTAGTTTGTATCTTCATAGGAACAGATTTGGAGAAATGTAGCATTACATCACTTGCTCACCAGTGGATCCTCTGCAGTGAATGGGTGCCGTCAGAATTAGAGTCCAAACAGCTGATTAGAACATCACAATAATCCACACGATGCCAGTCCATCATTTATCTTGTGAAGTGAAAAGCTGCATGTTTGTAAGAATCAAATCCATCATTAAGATGTTTTTAACTTCAAACCAATGCTTCTGGCTAAAATACAGGTCCAAAATCCATAATAACGCTTCCTCTGGTAATAAAGTTCATCGCCTGTTGTCCTCTCACATCAAAATACACCCACATATTTGTTTAGAACTGTTTTGGACTGCATATTTCTCTCCTGATTCACACGAGATGACTTTTTCACTGGAGTAAGCAATATTATGTTTAGAGGACTCGTATTTTAGCTGGAAGCAACAGTTTAAAGTTTTCAACGTCTTAATGATGGATTTGTTTCTTACAAACACACAGCTTTAGGCTTCACAAGATGTTAATTGATGGACTGGAGTCATTGCTTGTGGATTATTGTGATGTTTTTATCAGTTGTCTGGACTCTCTTTCTGACGGCACCCATTCACTGCACAGGATCCATTGGTGAGCAAATTCTCAAAATTCTCAAAATCTCCAAATCTGTTCCTATGAAGATACAAACTCATTTACATCTTGGATGGCCTGATGGTGAGCAAATCTCACCGTACTCAATGTCTCGATATTTCATATAACCCCAAAAAAAGGAATTAGTCATTATAACTAGAGCCATGTTAGCGTGTTTACCTGCAGAGTGAAAATAGAGGAGACGGGCTTGTGGTCACTGATGGTGTACTCCATGTGACTGCGGTAAAAATGCTGAGACACACAAGTTCCGCTGGTTAGACCTGACAAGGAGCTGCGCTTCGACATGCTGTTGCTGACCTGAGCCATCGGCCTCGACCTCCAAAGAATACGATCAGTCCATGCTGGCTTACGCTTTTTACCACTAAGAAAGATAAAGATTCACTTAAATAGCAATGCAATAATAACAGTAGCACTGCAGGAACTAAATACTACAGAATTGCAGGAATAGCAGCATATATTCGCTTATATAAAGGAATATTGAATTTTACTTGATCACTTTGAAAGAAAACTATGGAAGTTTGTTTCCGTCACTGAATAAAAAATAAAAAAGGTAACTGCGACTTTATATCTCACAATTCTTACTTTTTTTCTAGCAATTGCAATTTTACAGTATGTCTCGTAATTCTTACTTTTTCTCAGAATTGCATGAGTTGACAAGTTGTGAGCTACAAAGTCAGAACTGCATGATATAAACTTGCAATTGTGTGTTTTAAAGTCAGAATTGCAAGATATAAACTTGTAATTGTAAGAAAATGTCAGAATTGTGAGCTGACGTTTTTTCTCATCATTGGAAATTATAACTCACAATTGCAAGTTTTTATCTCACAATTCTTAGAAAAGAGGTCAAAATTGCTTGAAAAAACTCACAATTGCGAGAAAATCTCAGAAGAGAGTTCATATCTCACACTTCTGACTTTTTTAAAGGGGTCCTATTATGCTCTTTTACAAAGTCTTGATTTTGTTTTGGGGGTGTACTAGAACATGCTCTCATGCTTGGTGGTTCGAAAAACGCATTATTTTTTACATAATTTACATTATTAAAATACCTTTCTCCCCAGCCTGGCACAAACAGCTCGATTAGTTCCGGCTTTGATGAAGGTCCGCCTTCCGAAAAACAAAATGTGTTGTGATTGGTTAGCTGTCCCAGTGCGTTGTGATTGGCGAACAGCTTAGACGGTGTTTCATTACTGCCACGCCCCTTGCTCCATCTTTCAACAAAAGCTTTTTGGCGAATCCGGCACTTTACTCCCTCATGTTGTGGAAGCTGTCCTTAGTAATATGCGCAGCACACAATAGCAAATTGGGGTTATAATGCTCAGGGACAGTTAAAAAATAAATTGCAACCACTGTTTCCTGACATCATCTGCTTTCGGAAGCCCAAACAAAGACGTTTGGGCACGGAGGTGAAAAAATCTGCGTTTCACGTGGTCGCGCACCAGACGAGAAGCGCAGCGTCGCGTCACGCCACGTCTTTAAAATTCAAATACATTATTTTCTATGAGTGTAGGCACACCGGCGGCGCCGTTCGGCGTCTGTCCGTGGCATCCAGCTACGTCGTGTTGTACTTGTAAAAATTGTTCTAGACATGCTGAAAATTTGACGCTACAGCACAGCAGCTCTTCTTCTTCGTGGAATTATTTGTAATGATATTCCAATGAGCCGCTTTGTGATATCACAAAGCCCGGAAAACAAACGCTGTAGTCCAAACGAGCCATTCGTTGTAGTTCTTGAAAAGGGATTTTTTTAAAAACGAAATATCTCCCTTTGGAGTGGACTTTGAGATTTGTAACTTTCTAGAACTTTTTTTATGCCCAAACATACACACTACACACCGACTAAAATGAAAAAAGTGAAAAAGCATAATAGGACCGCTTTAACATGCAATTGTGAGTTTAAATCAAAATTGTGAGATAAAGAGTTGCAAATATTATTATCTTTTTTATTATTCAGTGGGGGAAGCAAACTTTCACAGAAAACAGTTTATTGTACTATAAAATAACATAACTCCCTCCCCAATCCAAAAAGAAGCAGAAACAGCTTGTTCTGACAGCAAATTAATTTTGCAATTAAAGTGCCCCTATTATGGATTTTTGAAAATGACCTTTCATGCAGTGTGTAACACAGCTCTAAGTGAATGAAAACATTCTGTAAAGTGTTAAATCTGAAAGTGCACTGTGAATAAAGTTATTGTCTCTCAAAAGAAAGAGTCGACTCTGAATCACTGAAACGAGTCGTTTTTAAAACGAATCCCAAGCCGTTTCATGTTGACGTCAACATGGAACATTAGCATATTGCCTGCCCAGTTGTTGGTGTTTTCTCTTTGGTCTGAATGAAAATGCAAATTCATTTTTTGCCACTAGGTGCCGCTTTTGGAGCGGTAAAAATAGCTGTTTCCCTGGTAACGCTGTACACAAAGCAGCACTGCGCTCACAAACGCTGCTTTATCAGGCATTACAGGCATGATGTAATGAAAATGAGACCAATCGACCAATCACCGCAGATTAGCGTCATGCAAAGAAGGGATTTGGAAAAATGAATCGTTGAGCGAATCGTTTGGGAGTCGTTGAGCAAGTAAGGTAAAAAATAAATGCATATTATAAGACAGTGAAAGTGTTTTTTTGACCTTGCATTAGGGCTGGGTGATATAGCTAAAAATAAGTTTCATATCGTTCGGTATCGATAATTATTGACATTTTTTATAACCTTTTTTAAAACAAAAAGCAATAGAATTTTTTTTTTTTTTTTAACCACTGCATTTTTAAATTAACACAATTTATTGAGACAAACAACAAATATTTTTTGTTTTAACAATCAAACACACATTAGAAATGAGATATTTGTTTAATTTTTATTGTTTTATATGCAGATTAAATAGGTTTTAAGGAAACTTTTGTCTTGTCTCACGAGGCCACAGGAGGGCGCAATGAGCAAAATAATGCAGCTAATTTAAATTGTCAACGCAAGGAAGTAACTCCATAAAAACGTGCATAACGTCTACATTTACTCGTAACTCATAACAACACAGATTGCATTTAAAAACATATGAGACGCAATGAAAAGGAATAAACCTCCACAAATTCGTGACGTTGTTTCTAAAAGTTTAAACTATTTTAACTTTGCATGGCTTTCTATAAATCTCTTCTGTGAGATGCGAGAGCAGCAGTCATATTTGTCCGTCTAAAATGTGCTGAATATGCATTCTGTGTGAATGGCTTGGTTTCGGTTTTAACC